ATACGCACAAATACAACGATACAAAGCAATTATAGTAAAAATAACACAAGCAGAATACGGCAGCATACACCCCTCAATTTAAAATAAATAAATAAATAAATAAAAAAATAGGACCGGCACGCTACGGGACATCACAATCCTATATCGGTACAGTGCTGCTAAAAGGTTGCCTTCCCCTGGCCTAGAAGTACACACTTGTTTTGTTTGTTAGATCCTATACAAACACTTTCCCTAATTCAAAAATCTGAGACTTTTTCCTTCAAACTGTAATAACGTTCTCTTCCAAAGAAACAAACAAAGTTATTTCTTGCCTTCTAATCCCATACCCCATGGTCAGCAGTGGGGCTGAATGGCATTCAATGTATGTCTCAAATCGCTGCCTTAGTTTTATGTAATTCCCCTCTTTGCTTTATTAGTGTTTATTTGATTACGGACAGCCTGCTTGTTTTTTTTACTGTGCGATTAGTGCTGTACGCATAAAAGGGGGAACTTTAGAGTAGACTTGCCTCTGTTATTTCTGAATAAATGAGGTAAGATTTAAAAAAAAAAAAAGAGAGAAATAAAGATATTGTACTCTTGTTAAAATGTCCCTCAGGTGCTGTAAATTTACAGGATCTGCAACTTCTGCAGAGACAAGGAAGCAGCACATCCTTTTCAGCCAACTATGGTTTCATGGTAGACATGTCTATGGGAACTCTAATAACCAGTTTTCATTTTGTCGACTAAAACAATTACTTGACCAGAGATGCAGTGATTACTTATCCCACCAAAACATGGGTGGGGGAAGGGACCACAAAATCTCAGGTAAGGAAGGTCACCTAAAATGTGCTAGCTAAAAGGGCGTAACCCTTAAAAACCATAATAAATTCCCAATACACTCCACTGACAGCGCAAACGGAAAAGGCACATTAAGAAGAAATTTGCTTAAAAAGAACCCTAACTTTTATTGAGATAGACCAAAAATACCTCCGTATTAGACATGTAGAACTAATTGAGTCTAAGGGATAGAGGAGTATGGTAGAGTAAGACAGTTAATTCTACTACTGTGTAAAATTACGCCAGTTTTTTCTTGTCACATTTTGTTTATCACTTAGGTAGCGCTATGTGCACTTTTATTTAATTTTTATTTAAGTTCATATAATTTGCTGTCTTTAGGAATTTTTGGTGCAGGTAGGCACTAGCTTTGTGCGGTGCCGAGGTAAACAGGGATAGCAACTATTTTGCTCTTTGATTGATCTCCAGGATCTCCATATGTCTGGCTATTTATATAATTTAGTGACTGTATGTGGTGGATTGGGACACACAGTTTAGAATGTTTACCCTTAGCCCTTCCTTGGTATATTTAGGGATTTGTTCTCCTCCCCCCCCCCCCTTTTCTTTTAACTCTAATTGGTGTTTTTTCTTGTTTGGAAGTTGGAACCTTATTAGAGCATCATATTTTACTTGTGGATTTTCTCATTGAGACCCCGTGCCTATCTCGATTAGGTTGGACAGCATACAGGGGGGTCTTTTTTGGTTTACCCCATAGAGAAATCTACCTGCCCTGAGGTGGATATCATAAAGTGGTATTTTACACAGCAGTATAATTAACGGTCTTACTCCACCCTCCTCCTCTATCCTTTAGACTCAGTTAGTTCTACACTTCTAATACTGAGCTATTTTTGTCTATCTCCTTTTTATATATTAGATCTCCATAAAAATTAAGGTTCTTTTTAAAGGGACACTATAGTCACCAAAACAACTTTAGGTTAATGAAGCAGTTTGGGTGTATATATCATGCCTCTGTAGTTTTACTGTTCAATTCTTTGCCATCTAGGAGTTAAATCACTTTTGTTTCTGTTTATTCAGCCCTAGTCACACCTCCCCTGACTGACACAGCTGGCATGTAAACAAAATGGTTTCATTTTTAATCTGATGCAACCAACTCTTAACACTAAAGATTTTTATCTCCTGCTTTGTAAATTTTACTTTAATTACATACAAGAGGCTCCTGCTGGGTCTAGCAAGCTATTAACAGAGTAGGAGATGAGAAATTCCAAGTTAAACAATTTAAAATAAAGGAAGTGTGAACATTAGATGACTTTTTACAGGAAGTGTTTAGGAAGGCTGTGCAAGTCACATGCAGGGAGGTGTGCATAGGATTGTATAAACAAAGTGATTTAACTCCTAATTTGCAGGGAATTGAGCAGTAAGACTGCAAGGACATGGTCTATATACCAAAACTGCTTCATTAAGATAAAGTTGTTCTGTTGACTATGGTGTTAAATTCTTCTTAATGTGCCCCTTCCCTTTTGGCTCCCTGTCAGTGGCGTGTATTGGGAATTTATTATTTTTCTAAAACTAAAACAATTCAAATGACTAAAATACAACAAAAACTAAAATGGTTTTTTAGTCAAAAGACTATGATTAAAACTAAATTAAAATTTGCCGCCAAAATTAACACTGCACAGAGGGGCTGTGGAAGGGGCAAAATAGACAGACCTGGCTTCTGAGAGAGACACCTTGAAAGGCTGGGAGAACACAAAGAGACTGGGGAAGGGGCAACAGATACTTTAACTAAACCCATTAGATTTTAGTCATAGCCTCTAAAATCTACTGGAGATTTAGTCAACTAAAACAAATCAGATGACTAAAATATGACTAGAATTACTTTTTAGTCAAAAGACTGTGTGAAAAACTAAATTTAAATTTGCTGCCAAAATTAACACTGGTGCAAGCATAGTGTAAATATAGGCAGAGTTGGTAAGACCCTAATGCTTACCATAATCCTAATTTTACTATTGATCTGTTACTCAGTGCCTGTTCCTAAACTGCTAGGATTGGTTTTGTTTTTCAGTTCTGCTTTTTCCAACTACTGTTAGGATTTGTTAATGTTGGCCACATCCACTACCCACCGATGGTACATCCCACAGAGGGGTTTGTCTTGCTATGGAACTTACTCCTTATCTGCATCCTCTCTGTTGTTTGTCATTTCCTTAGCATTCCATATTTGAGTGTCATCTCCTTCATACACTTGTGGATGCTCTTGTTTCATTTAGGACGGTGGTCTTGATACTCTTTAGGTCCTTAACTTCTTCCTGCCATCTGGTGTACAGTCTGAGTGCTAGATTTTGACTGTAATCCTCCATTCATAGTGAGTAGTTTATGCAATTTGATGTCCATGGTGTCTAGCTCTTCTCCAGGCTAGGTTACTATCCCAGATTGGTACCTGATGATTGGTAGGGCATATGTATTGGTGGGTGTAATCTTCTTGCCATTAAGCTCTGTCTTTAGGACCTGCCTGACTCTCTTGTTATGGCTACTAGCCTTGGCCTTTGTCAAGTTAGTTTAGCATCAATACCCCCAAAGTAAGTTTTGCTACCCATGGTCACGTGACACCTATGTGGGTCATCCTTTCCTTTGTGGCAGTCATTTAATTGCGTTTATTCAGGGTAGCATTTCCTGGTGACCATGCTATGTGTTATGGATCAGTTTGGAAAAACCAAGTCCCCTATTATTATTTAATTATTATGTGCAAATTGTTAAGTTTGCGTTGGGGGCTATATATTACACTGTTATGTAATGCTAAACTGACTTTACAATGGCCAAGGCTAATGGCCTAAATGTTGTCATGGCAGCTTGCTTCTATTAAAGTCTACACTTGAAGTGCTCTTTTACCTGGTCCTTTGTTCTAGTAAATCTTTGGAGACTTGCCATCACTGGGTTTGGCGCACCAACCTATTACCTTTACTTTGTGTGGGTGCAGTTCCTCCCTTTGGTGTATTGGAAACAATTCTAACAAACTCATTTGACATACAGAAACAATAGGCGAAGAGGAAGGACCCAGCCCAAATAATATATATGGATCACTATGGGATGGTGGTAGTAGAACACTATGGGACAGGGAGTGGGGGTGGTAAGGAACACTATGGGGCAGGGGAGGGGGGAGTGAAGAACACTATGGGGCAGGGGAGGGGGGAGTGAAGAACACTATGGGGCAGGGGAGGGGGGAGTGAAGAACACTATGGGACAGGGAAGGGGTGAAGAACACTATAGGACAGGAAGGGGGTGAAGTGCACTAGGGGGAGAGAGGAACATTAAGGGAGGTCACTAAGGTACAGGAAAAGGAACACTGGGGTAGGGTGGTGACCACTAAAAGAGAGGAACAGGGAATGGTGGTGGGGGGGGAGGTGCACTAAGAGACAGGTAAGGGGTCGGGAGGAAGAGAATTCCTTGATTAAACAAAAATAGCAAAAAAATAAATAAAAATATGGTAAGTATCGGTACGCTATTGGCTATCTGCCTGAAAGTTCACAGATTATCGGTATGGGCTCTTAAAAATAAATATCGGTCGATCCATAATATCTATGGGGAACATTTAGCATCTTCATGCAGAGTTATGTTCAGCGTCTAGGAATCACTTCTAGTGGCCGTCTGAGTAACTTCCACTAGAGCTGTCCCAAGGCCGCAATGTAACACTGCCTTTTCTCTGAAAAGGCAGTGTTTACATTGAAAAGCCTACAGGGACATGATACAGACACCAGAACAACTACATTAAGCTGTAGTAGTTCTGGTGACTGTAGCGTCCCATTTAAGACTGCATATTTATTTTTCAAAATTAAACTTTTTTAGCTGGCTCCTAGATTCCAAACAAATTTGTCAAGCCCTGCATTAAGCTATAGTTGTTTTGGTGATTATAGTCTCCCTTTAAGCCTAACCTATATTACTTGCTTTTACAATATTTAGTATTTGGTGACTTTCAAAATAACTGAAGAACCTGTATTATTCATTAATGTGTATATATATATATATGAGGTGGACTTGAAAAGAAATTGTGGCATTTTCATACATTAGTACACATTGGGGCTACAAAAAACATATATATTCCAACACAATTAACCGCTCTAATGTAATGTTTGACAAGGATGCAGAAAGATTTAGCCCCACAACAAATCGTCCTAATTGGATGTGAAGATGGTTAAAAACACTTTCCTGTTGGAAACCATAGGTCAGTGGTAGGCAACCTTTGGCACTCCAGATGTGGACTACATTTCTTTAGTGCTTTTTCAGACACAATGCTGGCAAAGGTATCAAGGGAGATTTAGTCCACATCTGGAGTGCCAAAGGTTGCCTCCCACTGACTTTAGGTTTTAAAACTCTTATTGCTCAGACTTGCACTGCAAATAAATGTAATGTTTACTGCTCATCAAGCAGTGTTTGCATACCTTCACTGGTAATATTTGTAATATTTAGCATCAACTATTTGAGAGATGTGAACAAAAAAGGAAAATATTTTCTGCTCTAAACTCTATAATTTGTAGCGTATCCTTATCATCTATGTCTACAAAGTTCTGCTATTAACAGTGTTTTCAGCCAATCCTGGTTCCTCTGTTCTATTCTAGTGGGGACAGTGGTTGGTGCTACTGTTAAAGCACTTACAGAGAGGCTGCATAAGTCATTTAGGAATTGTAGGTTTTTGTTTGGATTGGGTGAAGCTATACTTGTCTCATAACAACAACACATGAGGAGTAGAATGTTTCACCTATAGCGGCACAAATTATAGCAAATCTCTACAGCACTAATGTGTAGATTGATACTGAACAGAAATAGGAAGCTTCTATTATACCATGTGTACATTTTATTTTTAGTAACGTCAATACCAGACAGTGTTTTCATGGTGCAAATGGAGCAATACATTTTGAGGATGTAATGTCAAATGCGAGACCTGGGATATAGTCTTAGTGAAGTACTATAGCTGTTAATACCCCATAATTGGTAACTTTTTGTGTGTGTTTCGTGCACCTTATTTATTATAAAATCTCCTGGAACTATTCTGTGAAAAGTATGTAGGTTTTTTTTGTTTTTTTTTTGTTTTTTGTATCCCATCCAGTGGTTTGTTTCATTTCGTGGGACACTTAACTCTCCCAAATATAATATAGGTCAAGTTAAGTTTGTCAACTTCAATTCAATGAACATGTTAAACACATTCATATGATGAGGGTGCTAATTTCAGATGATTTAGACATATTTTACTTTACAGCATTGTCTGTTAATACAACAATGCACATGTACATTGATTTAAATAATGTAATTTGCAAGAAAAATAAATTTGGTTTGAATTTTTTTAAGCGGAGGTATACAAAATTAAAATGTATGTTTACTAACGCAAGGTAAGAGAGTAAATAGAAATAATAGTAATCAATGCATGTTCTTATTTTATTGGGATTACTGGATGATGCCCAGTATGCTATTAATTTAACCTAATTTAACCTTTTTGCTTTCAAAGGTTATTACAAATAGACACAACAGCCCACTAAGCTGTAGGTCTGCCCCATTGGGGTTTTGGAGGTACCTATACATGCTACATACTTTTATACAGGACATGAAAATGCTAACTCACATCATGTTGAATTCATTGTAATCAAAGTTTAAAGTCAACTAACTCAATCAAGCGTTAGATAGTGAAACTGTCATTATTTCATTGAGTTCAGATACTGCTCTTATACTCTGCCTAGCATAAAACAGATCACATCTAAGCTAAGGGAGTTGTTTGCAACACTGTAATCAGTAAAATAAAAAATAAAAAAATAAAATCCCTGAAACAGTCAGTGGTTACAGATAGTTGGTTATGTTACATAAAACCTATTGAGCTCTCATTCACCCACAATGTATCAACATTCCATCGATTGCGGTGTAAAACAGAGTTAAAGGGGATTTAGACAATTCCTATAAACTGGCAAATTCATTATAAAAATTCTGATCAGTTTTTTTTTTTTTTTTTTATGGACCATTATAAATTGCATAATATTGAACCCGCTGAGTTTCAGTCCCTACTGAGACTATCAATGGGTACCTGTTCGAAGCAAAGGGCTCAGGTCAGTTGGAAATGACATACAGCCTACTCAATCTGTCCCTCACAATGCAAGTAATGAGGGTTTTGATCCATTTCATAAGTTTGCAAACATTTTAGTGCTGCAATCAATTTATATGCCAACAAAATCACTTTTTTTTTTTTTTTTTGTCTCTGAAATATAATTATCAGGATTTAAAGTGAGGTGGAACTTTTCTGTTTTAGATGTACTTTGTATATAAATGTCAGAAGCTAGTCTCTTGTGGTTTTTTTTTTGTTGTTGATGTTGTTTTATCCGGGAGAGAGATCCACCCCTTGAGTCTTATATAAAACGTGTGTGTGTATATGTATATGTATATATATATATATATATATATATATATATATATATAATATCTCTATATCTCTAAGCAGTCACTCTAGAAGCCTTTGCCCATCACTGTTTCTCTGCCATGTTCAATGATACATTTGTAAATGAGTAGTGCCCAATAGGGCATTGTGAATGAAATAATATATAGTTTGAAAAAGGGTTGGAGTAACCATTTAGCTCCATAGAAAACGAAAAAGCGGTATTTTAGGAATAGCTTTGGGTGCCAGGGAGGTTTATTTTATCTTATTTTATTTATTTTTTAAATCAGTACACCTGCTTGATGTAGAAGAGACTGCAGCCATTGCTTCTTATAAATGTCTTCCTTAAATTCTTTTTCAGGGTAAGCTATAACTTTTCACAAAATAGCATATTATGCTGTATTTCATTCTCCGGAGTCTTATCCAATATTCTGAATTTACTTTTCTTTCTCTTTCCTAATGTGACTATATGCTTGCTTTTAGATGATGGGTATGAGATGGTATAGACTGAATGTAGGATATAGAGCAGGGGATGGCAACTTTTGGCACTACACATGTTGTGAACTATATATCCCATAATGCTGGCAAATCTGGACTGCAAAAAGTAGATATTACAGAGACTGCGGAAATGGTTTAGCTTCCTCCAAGATGAATCCACATTGAGAGGAATATGGTTTTATATCAGCATTGTGTGTGAATTTCAGTTGTGTCCTACTTGCTATGATGTACAGAAGAAACAAACACATCATTAAAAAAACTGAGATTCAACTTTAGAGGAACGTTTGTGTTTTTTTTAAGTTTAGTATAGGTCCCTCTGGAAAGCCTCAGCCAGTGCTTTTATTGTAAACAATGTTTGGTTTTACATGGTTCTCCCAAAGTCCCTTGTTGAATAGGACATAATCTTGGGCAAACCCACAAATTAACTTCTGAATGAGCTCAGTTGATTTCTGACTGTTGATTTCTCTTAATTGGGACACTACTTTTTTTGTTTTTTGTCTGTGCCAATATTTGAAATTCATGGGACAGTGTCACAAATAATCAAAACATCTGACAATTTAGAAGTCCAAGTATGCTCAATTTTCGCTTGTATTAAATATGATGAAATATGAATATTACAAATGATTAATTTTGAAATATGGAATATTTTATATCAAAACTTCAACAAAATTTATAAAACTAAATACTGATGTATGTGTGAGTAATTAAATTGAGTTCACTTACACAATGCATTTTAGTATTTAAAACGGTGCTTCAGCCGATCACCTATAGAGGCACACAGTGATTTTATAACTAGGTTTACTTAGAGACACATATAGACAAATACACACAATGTTACAATGAAATAGACACTTAGCTTACATTTGACATTCAGTTGCAGTATGGAAAAGACTTATGTGCCTGCATTAGCTTTTCACAAGTGGTTCTCTATATTCACCAAAATATAAAGCCTTGTGTTCACTCCTTTCTCCAAATTGGAGAAACTTTTCCTTCTCTCTGTCTCAGCATGGAGTGTCCTCTCATTTGTCTAATTGTCCCTTTTGTTCATCTGTAAGCAGTGGTGTGTCTCAAACTGTAGCTGTTGGTAAACATGCACTTTGTCCCAAGAAGGGGGGAAGGACATCTTCTACAGTGTTTTTTCTCGGATAACTAATGAATTCTTACATGCATTACATTTATTAATTACTCTGCAAAGTTCACTCTTGCTACATTCCACATCTTCATTAATAAATAAAATGCATTAGCTACTTGTCATTGTCCCAATTCTTAATAAATGAAACAACTATCCCTTTTGTCTAATCACAATGTAACATTACAAAATAAATAAAATACAAAGTTACACATATGAAGCATTTCAGGAAAAACCCCAAAAAATAAAAATATCCAAAAAGTTGTTTCCCTCCTGAAATGTTCACTATGTTCAAATCCCTCTCCATAGGTAATGCTCCTCCTCCTCCTTATGCTACTTGGCAAAGCTGTCAAACCTCTAAACAGAGTTCTTTAATAATGGGTCCTCATTGAACTCAAAGCCCTGAAATGGAAAACCACAACATCTTCTGATTCCCACTAATTTGTAAAACGGAGAGCAGAATAGGGTGAGCATTTCATATTATTATTGTTATAGTTACACCTATATTTTTAATATTGCTGGATAGTTAGGAATGTCAATGTAGTACTCAAACAGGACGCTTTCCAATTCATTTGCTAATAATTTGGTCCCTATTGACCCTCTGGATAATGGGCAACCCCAATAGAATAAAATGTAAGATTTACATCTTTACACTATCACTGTAAAAGTGTTGGATATTGTCTTTGTGAGGGGAATTTAAAGAAAGAAGAAAACCTGTTCTACCTCCATAATGTTCCTACCAGAGACCGTACTTGAATTTTCTTATTTAAATGCTCTATGCACTACTCTTTCAACACATAGGCTTTAAGGTAAAAGGCTGATGTTTGCTTTTGCCTAACTCGCTCTGTGACACTGGTTGTCATTCATGAATCCAGTTCTTTACAGAGACCTTGCTTCTTATTCAAAGCAATAGTCTGTCTGGAATGCTTACAAATCTCTACTTCTGAATCTTCAGGAAAGATCTTCTTGATAGGACATTTCTTTGTTGACTATGCCCAGTTATTTGTTTACCATCTTCTTGGGCTCCATTGGTCATGGACCATTTTCGTGCAGTTGGAATTGGTTGCTTGTACTTTGATGGTTGTCCTCATATCAGGAAGTATTTTTCTTCTTCTTTTTACTTCAGAACATCCTTATCTTCAATGCAACCCCTATTGTCATGCATTTCTGTGGCAGTCTGCAGTACAGAATATATTTGTATGCTTGATTGCTCCATACTTCCATTACATGTACCTTTGTTTTCACTTTGACTCGTGAATTCACATGGCCCAATATTAATTTTGTCAGGCCCAGGTATCCAGTACAT